ATGGTCATTATTTTAACTGTTTAAAAAACCGATGGTTCTTAACGACTAATGTTAAAATAGTTTTGTAGTACTTAAAAAACGATAATATTTGTTCATTTATCCTTAAAAATGTCTAAAACGATGGTTTATTGTGACCTATTAATAAAATAATATACTATTCTGGGTTACTGAGTAATTAATTAATGTCAAAGTTCCTTCTCATAGGATGAATTTTTTGTTGCCATCATGCAAGTCCTGTTATCCTAATTTATCATGGCATTCCCTTACTATTAGAGGAAAGTAACATAATATACAATTTATAATATTTTATATTGTTCAATATCAAACGCATTCAAATTCAAACTTTCTAAGACTACCCTAACCCTAACTCTGTAGAAGATTACCATTGATGCATTTATAAGATAATTTAAATTAAAGGTCTACAAGGTGTTAAATCTAATGAACTTAACAGTGAATGAAATAAAACCATGTTAGTATCATCGGAGATCGAAAACTACGGAAAAAATCGCTGTGTGTGAATAAAATGTCCGTTCAGAAAAAAATTATACAGATTTAACCATACAGACGAAACCGTCGTGCGTGTAATTCATTTTCACTGACAATAATCAGGTTTTTTAACTTTTCTTATGTAAGTAATTTTATAGTTATAATATTATTCATATGCATAAGAAATTATATATTTTATTTCTTAGGCAACCAATTTGATTGAGTTTGGGAAATAATTTGTTTATAAAGTCTAAATAAAAATTTCAGCAACGATACACACTCAAACATAAAGTGATTATTTACATTTAAATATTTAATTTTAGTCTAACTGTAATAATTAGATTTAAAATATTTTAAATTTAAACGTTGTTAAGATTTTTTTATATTTATTTATACCATAATAACCATCATAATGAAACCCTTAAACGTAGAAACTTTAATTAAAATGTTTGAAAATTTAAAACGTATCATAACTAAATTATTCAATTATTCTTTTATATATTACATTATTATTTATAGGCATACACAAAGTTTAATTATTACAACTAAATTCAATGATTTTCTGAACCTTTATAAGAAACATCGTTTCCCATCATTCAAAGCTAAGAAAAAGAAAAAAAAAAGAAAAAAGAAAAAAACAAAGACACAATCAAAAGAATATGACGATAATTTTTTTCTTCTTTTAATAGTCTTATGAACTACCTAACCGTTAATCCTATATATATTATAATGTAAGTTCTAAACTTAAATCTCCGTATCATGAACTGCTACTCTTTCGAGAAAAAAAAATCTGAATATGATATTATTCTAAAGTTTATAAGCATTGTGTATAACAGTTCACTGGGATTTAAAAGTTCTACAATTTTTTTTTTCTCTAAACATCAACTAGGTATTAGGTAAATACTTCCAGTTACAGTATTGATTAGAGTTGATGAATAAGTTGAGATGAAAAAAATGTAAATATAATATTGATTATAAAACTCTTTTCGGTTTTAGTGTTATTTATGAATATATTTTTATTTGAAAATGTGTTCAATACTAATTTTTTTAAATGTTCTTCATATATAGGAAAATATTCCATGACTCTATGTTACATCGCGTCCTGTTTCAACTATAGAGCCTATTTGGAATTTGTTCTATAATATCGATTAATTAAATGTATATTCAAACATATTATGTGAAGTCTGTTATTATTCGAAAATAAATCAAATCAATACTGTCATAGTGTTATAATAAGTTCCGGTGAAGTGAGTGAAAAAAAAAAAACAACAATCTTACAATTTTCATAGAGTTTCATCTACTCCAAAGTGATAATATTTAGACAAAGTGAACTTTACGATTTTCCATTTCGACGGTAATACAACAAATAATATAATTATCTATCTATCTATACTATACTATATATAAAGTTGTAAGGGTTTTTCTTCGACCGTGCTAACCGAGAAAACTACTGAACCGATTTGGCTGAAACCCGACATTCTGCTGAAGGTTTTAGTACCACTTTTGTCAGTAAAAAAGTTCATAAAAGTTCATAAAAAATTAAAAACAATTGTACCTATTGATTGATTATTTAAATATTAAAGTGCTTCAAATTGGACGAATGACTATTTTATGTCCTAAGTGCCATGCGAAAAAATGGAAAGATGAAACCCATGGACTTTGCTGCGCTGACGGTAAAGTTGTTTTACACCAATTTGAGGATCTTCCAGACCTAATTAAAAGTTTAATTGATAATTCTCACCCTATATCAAAACATTTCTTTGATAATTCTAGACGGTATAATACTCTGTTTCAAATGACATCGTTTGGAACAAACGAAATATCTGAAGGGAACATCATGCCCTCTTTTAAAATTCAGGGTTAAGTGCATCATTTAATAGGTAGTTTATTACCCGAAATTGGAAATAATGCTAAATTTTTACTAATATATTTTATGTCAGAGTCGGATCAAATATCTATTCGAACAAATATGATTCCAAATTTAAAAAGAGGTCTCATTGAATCATTGCAAACAGTTTTGCGTGAAAATAATCACCTCATACAGACTTTCAGACCTAATCTGGAGTATTTTGATGAGTTGCAAAACTTTAAGTTAATTATTCATGCTGATAGAGTTCCTCAAGATGAACACAGAGGTCAATATAATGCACCTACCATCGATGAAGTAGCTGTATTATTAGTTAATGAAGATAAAGGTCCCAGAGATATATTTCTGCACGGTCGGAGTGGACACTTGAGTCGAGTTTCCGAATTGAATAGATCTTATGATGCACTGCAATATCCATTGATGTATACTAGAAGCGAAGACGGTTATCACATTAATATTTTACAGAAAAATAACCAAAATCGAACAAAAACTGTTTCCTGCATACAATTTTATTCTTATAGGTTTATGGTTAGAGAAACAAGTCTAAATCATCTACATTATTACAAGACATTATTCAGTCAATTCGCCGTAGATATGATGGCAAAAATGATTTCTGAAAGACTACACTTTATTCATAACCATCAAAAACAACTACGTGCGAATGATTATGTTCACCTCTGAGATGCTGTTAACAATGATGCAAATATTAATGCTAATAACGTGGGGCAACAAGTAATTCTTCCCTCCTCTTTTACTGGCTCCCCACGTTACATGAATGAAAAAAATCAGGATGCCATGACTTATGTTCGTAAATTTGGCCGTCCAGATTTATTTATTACTTTCACATGCAACCCGGAATGGCCGGAAATAAAAAATGAATTATTTCAAGACCAAAAGTCGTTTAATAGACACGATATAATCTCTAGAGTTTTCCATCTCAAACTAAAAAAGTTTATGCATGTATTGAAAAATAAATATATTTTCAGAGATGTAAATTGTTATGTTTACAGTGTTGAATGGCAAAAACGAGGTTTGCCATACTACCACATTCTTTTGTGGTTACAAACGAAAATTCAGCAAGATGAAATTGATAAAATTATTTCTGCCGAGATACCAAACAAAGACAGAGATCCTATACTTTATGAAATAGTATGCAAGAATATGATTCATGGCCCATGCGGCGAGTTTGCTCCAAACGATGTCATTTGAAACAGAGTATTATACCGTCTAGAATTATCAAAGAAATGTTTTGATAAAGGGTGAGAATTATCAATTAAACTTTTAATTAGGTCTGGAAGATCCTCAAATTGGTGTAAAACAACTTTACCGTCAGCGCAGCAAAGTCCATGGATTTCATCTTTCCATTTTTTCGCATGGCACTTAGGACATAATATAGTCATTCGTCCAATTTGTAGCACTTTAATATTTAAATAATCAATCTCGGATTGATAATATAGGTACAATTGTTTTTTAATTTTTTATGAACTTTTATGAACTTTTTTACTGACAAAAGTGGTACTAAAACCTTCAGCAGAGTGTCGGGTTTCAGCCAAAAAAAAATTTCAGCCAAATCGGTTCAGTAGTTTTCTCGGTTAGCGCGGTCTAAGAAAAACCCTCACAATTTTATATATATAGTATAGATAGATTACCATGGAGTGGTGCGTAAGAAACAATACGTTGATAATGTTTATTTTTATCAAAACTATTACAATAATATTATATAAATAATAAAACCATTGATCTTTTTTTTAGAAAGAAAAATATAAGATTTTTTAAAAATAATATATACGACCAGCAGTGTTATTCCTCCATGCCCATTTCGCTTATCGAATAGGAGGGGGTAAAATGCCATGTACGGCTGTCTTGTTATTTATGGAAAAGTCGGAAAAATGTATTTTGTCAATGGAACTAAAAAAATAAACATGACATTTATGCATACGAAGGACGAGCGCAGTTTGTTCCATATGAATGGGTTTCAAAATGGCCCACTGAATTCATTCTTTTTCAAAATTTTCATTCTTTGCGTTCTCTGCGCCAAATGATATTTAAAATCTGCATCGACTATGCATATTCATTGTAATCGTATGACATTTTAATTCGACTGCTTGCGGATTCAGTCGGAACGCCCCGCTGCCGGGTGTGTAAATATAAATTATCATGTGCCCGTCGTGTCATTTTTCAATATTTACGAGCGAAACCCGACGAACCAATATTTCCAGGTACTATCGGTCAATAAAAATTGGCAATTAACTGCTGCCGACACTCTCTCTCTCTCTCTCTTTCTCCTTAAATTATTATTCGCCGTGTAGAATATTATTACGATTATAATTTGCATAGTCCCGCGCAACCGTTGCGCGGCAGTAATTTAACTCCGGCATACTAAATTCGATCAATATGACTACTACCCGGTTCGGTTGCCGTGGCACACAGGAGAAAAAAAAATAAAATACATTTCCACTGCCGGACTACTTATAATCTCGGTTAAAAATATTTTGTTGACGCCGTGCGACGTTTTGCTATATTGCCACTAAAATCTGTTCCGACACAAGACGTCACCGAAGTCTCTAAAAATATCTAACCACTCCCTCCTCCACATATCCCACTTTCACACGAGAAACGAGAATTTTCACTTTAAAAACGTACTCACCGACTGCATCCGTAGTCTGGTCACAAGTTCAATAGTGTTTTCACGTATAATATACGTACTCAACGTGTTAAATCTAAAACACAATTTAAACTAATGAGTGAAAATGTAAAAAAAAAATAAAAGGCGATAAAAGGTATATTTTAAAACGAAGATCTGTCTCGCAATGGGCTGTCCGATATTATTTGTTATAATAATTATTATATTATTATATTAATTATTAATAATATTATTCTGATTTAACCGATCATAATATTATTTTTCGTACATCTTACACCCGCCACCGTTGGTAAATTTTTCTTCCCGTGCACAATACCTGATTACATATAAATATATACACGTAGGATTGATTAATTGGATAAACTTTGCGAGAACGAACATAATAATGTATTCCATCGTTGAATACTGCTACTGCAGTGACGTTCTACACGTAAACCAAAGTTATTTATTTCTTGTTGTACCCATTCTGTGTCAGTTATTCGAAATGTAAAACTTCAGACAATCATCTCAGAATTTGAAACTTGTAATTGTACGAACACAATTCAAATCATGTGTATTACATTACAAGCTTCGCGTGTCTGCCACTTAAAATTATTGCTGATCAATTTTATACAACGTTCATTTAATTCGACATGCGTATCATAATATGTACATTGTATCCAAGTTCTTATTGTGTACACATTTTTTGTTAAAATAAAACCTACGTCAAAACCGAGGTAATTATGTAAAGTACATACATAAGTTCACTCGTTTAACGCGTATTTGCGTCCCATTTTAAAATCGTAGACGCATACAATCGTTGTGTATCATTTTTAAAAGGAACACATGAAATATTACAACAACCGATATTTGCATAGATTTTTACATAATATTATCGTAAAAATAAAAAGTTGTAAATAACATCTATGGCCATCGCATTTTTATTTCATTATAACATAACCACTTACTGAACTGTACATTATATTGATATGCCTACAATAACGATATGACTACTCTATACAAGTGCGTAAAAGCAAACACGTAGTTATATATATTATAATGCAAAAACATTGTGCACGCTATACAGTTAAAATAAGAATTTTGTTTTCAAATTAATACCTATAACAGATAATGTAAGATTAATATAAAGATAAAACGACTTATGATTTAGTTTATTAATAATAATTGTATCGAACCAATTGAATCTAATTGAACTAACCAATTTTTCTTAAAATATTAAATCTTATATAAACATAAATGTAATTTGTCTTGTTGGTCCTTATAAGCTTCCAAAAGCATGTATTGGGTTAGGCGTACTGTTTTGGAGACATATAGATTTGATTAGATTTTATTAGATGCTAATCATGGAGTTTCTATCGATTTGTTGAGTTCCTAGTAGACATATTTAGAATTACTTTCCACCCAATTATACATAAATATAATAATAAATACCAATCATCGATGGTTTTTATACAGAATCTATATGATTTTGAAATTAAATATAATATATCAAAATTGCGAAACCGATTGAACGGAAATTTTAAGCAAGATACATCGTAGAAATGTATTAGTTTAAGTTTAGCTTTTCCCATCTCGTCAGTTTATCCTTAATGTACATAATATCTCACAAACAGCTGCATTTTTTGAGTTAATTTTTTTTTATATTTTTATGCGTTCATTTCAGTTTCATATATATAAACGCGCATTACATCAATACTAATTTAATTGTTGATATATTTTTTATATTTTATACACACTTGTCGTTAACCAACTCAATTGTATTTCATAATAATTTCAATTGAAGTTATCATATTCCACGTAGCACAGACATATATGTATATATATATATATATATATGATACGGGCAATATACACATTGCTTGGACAATTCAAACCTCCAATATAAATAATTTTTTACTTATAATAATAATTTATAATATTATTATTATAATATTTCAACTATTAATATTTTTACTAATAATTTATTATAATTTGGTTGTAACCCAGAACATATCATTTTAATATTTCCAACTCACTATTTATATTATTTTATTTTATAACTATTTTTTTCCCATACGATCAAAATAGATTTAAAAAGTAATAGCTATGTCGATAAAATCACACGACAATATATGAACAATAACTGGTACTTGCAACTAACCTAATAAATATAATACATTTGTAGTAACTAATATTTAAGGTATAATAAATTATTATTAAAATTGTATAAGCATAATATTTTTTTACAATACATTCTGTATTTATTGGCATAATTAATTTTTCATCTTCTTGTACTGTTATTACGTCATATTAACATGAAAACTCAGTAGGTTAATCGTAAATATCAATTATTGTTCATATATTGTTGTGTGATTTTAAGGATAAATTTATTATTTTTATCAATATCTTAACTGTAACATAAATAGTACCTCTATGGGAAAACAATACTTATAAGATAGAAGAATATAAATAATGAGTAAGAAATATTCTACTGATATTTTATATTTGTTCTATATTATAATAAAATTATAATAAATTATTAGAAAAATACTGCCCAGTTATTATTATAAGTACAGTTATTATTTATTTCTATTCCAAGTTCAAATTGCTTATTTTTTTTTATTTTTTGTTCTCTTCAATAGTTTTTGGAAGTATATGCACGTATATTATTATATAATTTTAAATCGTGAAACTTAAAGCTAAGCGCATGAGGTTTTCTAATTATAAATATTCTCACATACATTTATAAACATATATATATATATATATATATGTTCATTTCGTTCCGTTGAAGTTTTGCTTATGATGAAATTATTACTTTCAGATAAATATTATTTCCATATGGTCGTACGTGTGAGTTATAATTTTCTGGACACGCGGTGTTTCTATAAATATGTACAATTTATAAAACTTATCATTACCAAACAGCTTACATGAAATCGTCCCTGATAAACGTGCGCAAGCGTGTCAGGGTTGAAATCTCCGCACTCTTTTTCTGACTTGAGTGAATTATTTCTAGTGCATTATACTTATTACGCGTGCATACTATTTTGCGTTGTACAACATTCCCCTTCAGACCTTACCACATTATTACATTAGCCAGAAAATTTTCATTTATAAAAACGTTAAATATACTTCATGTTTCCAAAAATAAATTGTATAAACAAATCAAATTCTACGTTAAAGATCTTGCATTTTACTCGCCGTTTTTTCACATATTCCTTAAGATTATACCATTTTAAGAGTACTCGCAGTAGTTCCGCTGATCGGGGGAAACAATGCTTTTACTGCCTTTTATTATCATTTTTGCCGTCACGTAATTATTTTGATGACTTTGTTGTTATCCGGCTTTATATCCCGACCCGTGAAACCAAGACGAACCAAAAATATTATTTTAATTGACAACGGTATACAAGTTACGATTCCCGGGAATTTAAATTACCGGATTTTATGTATACTCAAAAATATTTATTATTTTTACTATAATTATATTATTATTATTATTATTATTATTATTATTATTATTATTATTATTATTATTATTTATTTGTTATGTGAGTGTGTGCATAACTAATGAACAATAATTCTGGCATGTATAACGCGCCTTTTCGTTTTCAGTTCAAATTTACGGCCATTGCATCCGAAGACGCAGTTGTTATTTATAACTGCCACGGCGATAGACTCAGATTTCGTAATATTATAATTTACATTAATATTGCTGAACGAGAAAAATTGGACCACGAAATAATGGACTTGATTACAAACACCTCGGTGACTATTTTTTCTCCCGTGTGCCCGCACGCGGAACTCAATGCTGCGTAACGTAACGTATACGAGTAGAGACGAATCAAAATGTAATTTTTCTTTTTTTTTTTACGTAGTAATCTAGTTTCATATGATAGCATAAACAAAATAATACTGTGAGGTGATGATGATTTGCCTACAGCATTTTTGAAGGTAAGAAGTTAGTCGTGGGCACCTGATGATCCGCATTAAAGTTTGAATCGATTATTAATGAATACTGAATATACCAATATTATCACAACATGATATTAGTAATATGCGTAGATTATTTGCAGTTTCTTATCATTTGACTCAAGGTTTATGAAAAGTATAACGCAGGAAGATAGGAATGATCATAGGCCTGATAATATATCTTTGGTAGACGATCAAAATTATTTCAATCTAGCTTTTTTTTTGAAAATCATATTTTGAATCGTTTATATTTGAAAAAATACAAATTATTTATATAATTTGATAACACAATTAAAATATATATTAGTTAAAATATAATGTAACAAACTTTATACAATAAAAATTTGATTTAAAAAAACCTTTTCAAATTTGTAATAATTTCCACAGAAAATGTAAGAATTAGAACTTGACACCTTTTGACCACGTATCAAATATATATTATACATAGTCATTCCATGTTACTCGTGACGGTTTTTTCCAATAGAACGATATAAATCTTTATTGGATCGTTGATATTATAATATGCGTAATTTTCATCGCAGCTGTTCTTATTTAATATTTATTTAATATTAGATCGGCAGTTTGTCGAAGCAGTATGTCATAATACTAATAGTGGAAATAATCATAATAAACGCACAGTGTGCCAATTATTAGCATTAAATCCATATTGTTATTGTACTATTGTAGAAACTGTGCTATTATTTAATAAATATATGCGATGTATATAAATAGTCGTTAAAACACAAAACGGGAGCGTCATAATAATAATAATAATATATTTACTGTGAACGGTGTCCGAAAATGAATAATATACACGTTTAGTCAAAAATGAAAAAACGGAATGAGACATACGAGTGCTGTAGCTTATTCAAATAATATTGTAATATTAAATTACATTTTTAGAAATTCGAACAACTGGTTCGTTTATAATTTTGTGAAATTATTATTGCCGTTGTTTGTAAAAGCAATAGAGTATAGTTTAACTTAATCTTTGGTAAATAGAACTCTTAGATTATCGTAATTATTATGCACGTGTATTTCGTTTGATAGCATTTCACTGGTAATAAAATGTTTGGATTAATGTCGGAAACTTTATTATTATAATACTGTGTTCCCAGTGTT